AGTTCTTGATTACTTTTTGATAAATAATTCGTTCTTATTGCGAAATAGGAGCACTATTTATCAATCTGTAATAAAAGACGTGAGGAAATTCTGTCGTTTTTTAAAGACAAACATTTTTGAGGCGAAATACCCAAAAAGAAGTTTGTAAAAAAAGTAAAAAAAAGTCATCAACATTTTTCCAGCAACGGAACTGAGTTACTGCGCTGATGCGCTTGTGTTGGCGCACCCACCAACCCATTTGCGCCGCAGTGCGCCAACTCCTAAAAATTCACTGAGTTACCTAGGCCTACTCTAATTGCATTTCTACTTAAAAATGAGCAACGAATACCTGCTGCACAGCAACATTCTTTATTATTGTGTTTCAGTATATTTTGACCTGGCAAGAAACAAAATGTTTGCACTCGGTAGCAGCGACTCGGATTCAGACGACGACGTTTGGGTCGGTCCCTATACTCTTGACGAAGCGATTTATGATGCGACCAAGTCCAGACGTGCCCTGATCAATCATAGGCATTCATGCATGTAAGTAGACTCATGGATGTAAATAAAAAGTGATTTTTCTCGAAGTCAAATAATCAATAAATCCGAAATCAATTGTTTAAACTAGATTTTCTTCCTGTAACCGAATCTTCTAATCATTTGTACTATAAGGAGACTCAATGTCATAATTCTTATTTAAACACTAATCTGAATACCAATATCTGAATGCACGCAAGTTTAATTGTTTCTACAACTTTGAAACGCGATTATTTGAAAACCTCTGAACAAAAAACAAGAAAGTAGTAACTAATGTAAAGAGAATTGAACGCCCTTTAAAGCGATGTGCCACTTGACCCCCCTTCCCATTCAAGATTCTGAGGGTGACATTCACCCCTTTGAAGTTATAATATTCATTTCATTCATATTCATATTCATTTGAAGTGTCTCCCTTACAAATAGAATTGACGGGTCTTTCCGATTTTTCATAATTTCAACTGCAAGAAAGATATTAAGGGTGGGATGTTTTCAAATTGACACCCGGTATAAGTAAAGTATAAAGTTGCAATTTTAAAATTGATTTCAGATCCAGCTTTAGTCACTTCAACACTAGAGACGAATCTTCGGATAAAAGCACTTCTGAGACGTCGTACACGACTGCATGCGATACAGTTGATAGTACTGAACATAACAAGAAAAGTGCAGATGAAAGTGAAGAGGGTTTCCACTCGGATCAGTTTGCTGGCGATGAACTTCAAGAAGAAAATTTGGATGCATTAACACTAAAGTCCAAGTCTAGTCAAAATTATAACTTCCAACAGTATTTCGCTGCAAATCAATCTTCAGAGAAGACCTCACTAGAATCATCTTACAGTACTGGATGCAGTGAAGTTGCTAATAGAAGCAATCGACGCGTTTCTAAGAAGTTCGCCAAGACTGAAACTTACAAAGAAGATGAATTCGACACCAGTGAGTCCAGTCAAGAAACTCATTTCCAAGATCATTGCGTTGCAAATAAGAACACATTAGAAACCTCTTACAGTACTGCATGCAGTGAATTTCATAATAGAAGCGATCACTTGGTTTCTAAAAAGTTTGCCCACGCTGAATATTACAAAGAACAAGCTGCAGAAGACTTCGGCTCGGAACAGTCTTCTATTGATGATTCCCAAGAAGAAAAGCTGAGTGCGTTATCACAAGAGTCCAAATCGAGTGAAGACTATACTTTCCAACATTACTTCGATGCAGAGAAGAATGCACTAGAATCGGTGCATAATGAAAACGGTCAACGCAATTCTAAGAAGCTGTCGGTTACTGAAATTTACAGAGAAACTGGTGAAGAAAATATCGCAGAAGACTTCGATGCAGAACAGTGTTTTGTCGAAAAGCTCCGAGGAGAGAACGTGGATGCAGTAAAATTCGAATACGACTTTCATAAAGAGCGGAATTTTTCAAATGAAGTGTGCTCAATACAGTCTTCTGTTGTGTGTGAGTTCAGAGAAGAAAACGCGACTGCCATTACCTTAGATTCAGACTCGAGCAAAAACTATACCTCCTCTTCGGCTGATTCCACGTCAACACATGAGAAATCCGTCTTAAACCGTAGTTTCGCATCCGCACTTCATCCAGAAGATGATAGCAAGTTCAAGTATAACTCAGACTCGTCAGGTCTTGAGGAGTCTGTTGCGAACTTGCATTTAAAGCCTGGAAGGCGCAGTGATAAAATTTCACTTACTACACCAGATGAGCGATTAAGTGATTCTTTCACTCTCGATGATACCATGGAGGAACTAAACCAATTCATCCAGCAAGGACCTGATTATGTAATGAGTCCAAAATCAAACTCATCTGCGAATCTACTTCAAATTCCCGCCGATTTTGTGCCACTTGCTCGAAGTACGAATGCCAATCATTTCCCTGAGAGCTTCGCTTCGCCAAACTCAACTAAAAGTAGCACCCCTAGCACAGGCTTTAAGTCCAAATTACCCACTTTTACTGGACGCAAGCGGACCGGACATTCGGCGGAAAAAACCAACAAAGTAAAGAGCGTTGAAAAACCGGTCAAATCATCTGAGAACGCGGAGTTTGAATTTAAGGTGCCCAAGCCACCACTTAATCGAACCCCCAGGTCTAAGTTGGAACATAGAGTTAGTCCTGTGGGGATTTACATCAAGTACAGTCCCCGGTATTCTCCGTTAGTGAAAGTTTCGGCCACTTCGCGTCCAAACAGTTCCAAAACCAAACTGTTCGCGGCTGAACCTCAATCCAAGGAGAACATTCCCGAAGCTTTGAACTGCGAGTTTCCGGCGGTTATTTACAAACCAGCCGCGACAAGAATGGTCTCGGAACAACAAGATGTTAAACTTCCCAACAGTATTAAGAAACTGGTATCGCCGCAAGTGGTAAGCAAACATGAACGGCGGATCGAGAGACAACAGCACGATGTCTCCATAGAACGGCGTCTCTTAGAATCAGACTTGACCATACATATGGATGATAATCCAGATATTTCCATTGTCGTCAATAAGCAACCTTTTGCTATTAAGAAATTGTAAATGTTTTTATCGTCTATTATTCCTTACAGTTGTAAATAGTTTTAATTTTTTCATTCAATACACGGGTTTTGCCGAGCAGTGTTTTGAATCAACCTTGGTGATAGTCCACGAAACGAAAAATTTAAGAACTATTTGGGCCTATCAGGATCCTGCCGCCTGCCTGGCAGCTTTAAATAATAATATTTTTAATTACAAACAATTTAATACATTAAAAAACAAATTCTGAATATTGCAACTAACATAAAGTTCTGTTTCTCCCAAGGTTTGTACTGAGCTACAAACGGTTTTAGCTTCTAATTAACTAATTTCTAACTTGAAAGTCACTCAGAAGACTATTTAATTAATTAATTAATTAAGATTGATCACCTTTCGGGTAGAATCACAGCTTTGCAGCGATTGCACTAAACATTCTTCCGTTGCATGAAATCGAGACTTAAGACATTCCAGTTCCAATCATTGCAAATTGTATACAAATTTTGATACGTTGATAACAACTTTTTCGGTTAAAAAAAAAGGTGAAAAAATGGATGATGGTAAACGACATGAGCTGCGATGCAGCACCAGACGATCATCAATTTTTAAGGGAAATTTAACTAAATCACGTTGACCAGAATGCCTTAGATCCACCCAAAAAAATAAAGTGTTTACTCCGTTCAAAAGAAAACCTTAAATAATAAATTAAGACTTTGCACCGAAACGGTATGAATAGTAGAAAGGTACTACTTACTTTTAATGCAAAGGAACAGTTTTAGACTAATCTATAAAGACAACAAATTCTAGACTGTCGAAAGTGATAAAACGAAAGCAATACATTCTCAAAAACCTGTAAAAACTCAACACTTACTGTTCTACAGCGGATTCCCGCGGGTGAAAAATAAACCCGTGCTCATTCGTCGGCTGATACAGCGGAACCGAAGAATCTCCATTGTGGAAATTTGTGGTCATGTAGGACATATGGGCTGGAATAGGGTTGGTTGGAGTATACACGACTGTGGGGGACGTAGGCACCACCATGGTCATATTTCCTTGGGGAATCGATGTGTAAATCACCGATGACCCTATAAAACGCCTGTTAACGACCGTTACACGCGCAACGAAAGCGAATGGCACCTGGAGGGTAGTTGAGAACTTGAGGGCTCAAATCCATCGGCTGTTGAACATACGCGAAGTTCTGTGGGGTGAGATTTTGTTGAACGTCATGTGGCGATCCGCATGGGTTCACTAGATAGTTTGGTGGAGGCTCTAACAGTTCCCCAACATGTTCCGGGGCATTTTGCGCAACCGATGAGTTCGTCAACGGCGTAAGAGGCGTTAACGGATACGGAGAATAATGGGGAATGTGATAGTTGAAGTAGAATGGATACGAAGTATCTGAAAATGTTTCCAGTTCAAATGATGAATGTTTCCATTCATGGTGATTTAAAATTGGCATTGTTTATATTAAGGGACTGTCTTTTTCTGGAAGCTTTTTTACTCGTCCTTAGTGCACATTTTGGAACTTCCGCTTCATGTCTGGAGTTACTAAAATAATCGATTAGCTCATGGCGAACTAGAGAGTTCTGTATAGTAGCCAGAAGGAGGGTAAACTTTATTTAGGCTTTCCGAGCATGGTAAGTACGAATACGTCAATTTTCAATCACCCAATAGAACAGAGACAGCCTTACCATAGTAGGGAACAACATTTGGTGTTACTGGGGCGGAGGCCATCATCGGTTTATATTCGCCATACGGGGCGGAGTCTTGTGAGTCAGGTGTTTGTGGATAATAAGCGTAAGATGGTTCCCACTGACATCTACAACTAACCGCTATAAGAAGCCTGTTTGTAGACAGACCCTTTCAACAGTACCTTTCGGAAAATTGAGTAGTACTAGGCGCGGTCAGACTTTCCGAGCTGTTCGCCTCGTGTGTTTCTCGTGAAGGTTCAGAGTTATTATTTCGAATATCCAATTTTTGCTGAAAGTGTGTTTAAAAGGGAGTTGTTTTGCGGTCAAGAGTCTGGCTAATACGAACCAGCGTCACTCCAGTATAGTTCCTAACATCAGCTTCGATACTGGGCAAATCGCCAACACTTGCACTTTGTTGCTGGAAGTTGCTATTTTTTCGACGCGCTGATTTTATTTTCTCCATTGGGGCCAGTTTGGTTGTGGGCGTTGTTTCAAATGATTTGTTGAATCTGAATAGAGGTGTAAATGTGAACGGAGTGGAACTAACTGTGAGTTTCCTTCAATTTCTTACCTATGAGGTAACGGCCAGGGTTTTGCATTAGGTTCTGGAGCTAAATCTAGATAGCAAACCCATTTCAATTCAGCCAATTTGGTTATATAAACCATGCATTTGTCTTCTTCTTTGTCCAACTTTTGAATGTAACATTCCATCGGTTTACCAGTTTTTTCATCATTTAAAACGCACTTGGTACCGATGGTTAGTTTATCGTCGCCTTTGTACCAATTGGCAAGTCTAAATTCTGTAAAAACATTGCTATTTAGCAATCAATGCAATTAATATCAATAAGAAAATTATAAGGATGTGTTCTTCGAATCCTGAAAAATTCACTTGCAATTCAACCAACTCCAAAAGCAGAGCAAGTGGCCACTTGATAATTTTACGCGGTTTTTAAAAAATGTTGAAGAACAACTGCTAGAAATTGTACTAGAATCCAAATGCTCACTGATTGTTTAGCAGCTTGCAAACTAGGGGCTGAAAGTCCCAAAAATTCAAATTTACTGGCTAGTAAAAAAATCTAAAGTCCAGAATAAGGGGCGACTTGAAATTTTCACATGATTTATAGAAAATATTGAGCAAAAAATTGTAAAAATTTAACAAACCGCCAAACACCCACTGATTTTTTACACGATTGGAAACTCAAGCGTAAAAACTCCAAAACACAAACTTACAAGTACTTGTAATGCCAAAGGCTCACTGATTTTTTAGCATTTCCAAACTTGGGACTAAAAACCTAAAAAGCCGAACTTGCTCGCCTAAAAGACTAGTAACTCACAATCCAGAGCCAGTGGCGACAAGAAATGTTCACACAATTTGTAGAAAATATTCAGCAAAAATTATGCGGAAATCCAAATAGTCACTGATTTTTTCGCAGCTTCTAAACTTGGGTGTGACAACCCCAAAATTCAAACTAACTCCATCGTTAAAAAAATATGTGACTCCAAAACCAGAACAGAAGCGATTTGAAATTTTCACCCGATTTATAGAAAATATTGAGAAAAAAATTGTACAAACATTCAGACACCCATTGATTTTTTAGACGATTGCAAACTTGAGTCTTGAAACCACAAAATTCAAACTTACACGCTTATTAACGAAAAATCGTAACTAGAAATGCAGAGCAATTGACAACTGGAAATGTTGCTCAGATTTATAAAAAGTATTAAACAAAAAATAGGAGGAAAGGTAAAAAAGTTCAACTGCTCGTTGATTTTAGAGCAGCGTGGAAACTTGGGACTAAAAGCCCGAAAATTCAAACCTACTCGCCGGTTAAAAATTTGTAACTCATAAACCAGAGCAAGTGACGACATGAAATGTTTTATTTATCAGCTTGCAAACTAGGGTATAAAAAATCCCAAAATTCAAAATCAATCGCTCGTTAAAAAAAATGAAGACTCCAAAACCAGAACAACCAGAAGCGTTTTGAATTTATCACCAGATTGATAGAAAATATTGAGAAAAAATTGTACAAACATCCAAACACCCATTGATTTTTAGACGATTGCAAACTTGAGTCTTAAAACCACAAAATTCAAACTTACATGTCTATTAACAAAAAATCATAACTAAAAAACCAATGCAAGTAATGCCTTGAAATTTTCATCAGATTTTTAAAAAACATTGAACGAAAACGAGGATAAAGAGTGGCAATAAGTCAAACAATCACTGATTTTTTAGCGACTTGCAAACCTGGGCCTAAAAACTCTAAAAGTCAAACTTACTAAGCTTATTAACAAAAAATCGTAACGAGAAATCCAGAGCAAGTGACAACTGGAAATTTTGCCCAGATTTATAAAAAATATTAAGCAAAAAATAGGAGAAAAGGCAAAAAAGTTCAACTGTTCTTTGATTTTTGAGCAGCGTGCAAACTTGGGACTAAAATTCAAACCTACTCTCCGGTTAAAAATTTGTAACTCATAAACCAGAGCAAGTGACGACATGAAATGTTCATACAATTGTAGAAAATATCCAACAAAAAATTGTGGAAATTATACAAAAATCTAAATGTACTGATTTTTTATCAGCTTGCAAACTACATATAAGGGTATAAAAAATACCAAAATTCAAACTCACTCGCACGTTAAATAAATGAAAACTCCAAAAACAGAACAACCAGAAGCGATTTGAAATTATCACCCGATTTATAGAAAATATTAAGAAAACATTGTAGAAACATCCAAACACCCAACGATTTTTTATACGATTGCAAACTTGAGTCTAAAAACCACAAAAATCAAATTTAGTCGCCCGTTAAAAGTGTTTAACTCCAAAGCCACAGATAATAGAGCAACTTGAAATTTTTACACAATTTTTTTGGGAAAAAATTGTACAAAGAATCCAAACGCTCACTGACTTGCAAGCTTGCAAACTTGGCCCTAAAAACCAAAAATTGAAATGTACTCAAAGTGGGACACGTTGAGAGAACGAATGGAGGACGCAGTTATAAGAAATTGAAAAATCATCAGCTTTAATAAACCGCAATTAAATCGAGTCGGTTAATTACGCAACCCACTTTTGGATCACCATACTGTACAGAAAATTTGTCGCATCAACTTTGACCCTCGTCAGTTGAATTTATTATTAGTCTAAGATCGTGTTATTGTTATTGTTATTAAACCATTGCACCTGCCTTTTCTCATATTGTTCCAAGAATCATATTCAATATTCCTGTAAATATCTGGATGAAGAGCTTTGGCCACCTTATAAGGAAATGGAGCTATAATAGCATTATCCAGATTATCCTTAATTACCAGCTCTTCTTCGCCATGCTTCTCTTCATGCTTATCTTTGCTGATGACTGCAACCTTGTTGAAGAGCATTGCATTAGCTATTTGATCCACATTTGGGATCTCAAACACCTGTTCATATAGTGACTTATAGACGATGGCTGAAATGAATCAATAACTGTGCGATAAACGTAATTTGTGTATCATCAAAGTTCATACATTGGCAGAAACCGGCGTCGTTGATTTGCTCTTTTTTGTACACAGCATCATAATGATCATCGTCTACAAGGCACAGCATTAGAGGAGTGGTGGGAAAATCTCGTTTGGTAATATCAACTATTTCCTGTTCTTTGGGTACGGCAAGGAGAATATCCCGACTAGAAACGAAAACTGTAGAGTCAAGTGCATTAACACGGAACCAGTAGTCACGCAATAATCGAATACCAACTTGTAGGTGCGGCTGATTAATTGCAATTCTAGATCTCCACAGACCAACATGTGTTTCTCCAATTTGAGCAGATGTTCCATCCAGAGCTCTTCATTTGGAACGAAATGGTTAAATTGATCAAAATGATTTTTCGCAAACGCAATACACTCTGTGCGAACTCTTTCATGGTATATTTGGCACTCAAATAGCTGCAAATTGTAATAAAAATTGCTTTATTTATAGGCGATAATGGTCAGACGACTGGGCAGTGTTTAATTTTGTTATGTTATAAGCCTCTGAGATTAAAGCAATGCATTCACTCCTAAATTTTCTCAACTATTTCAAGAAAATTATTATTGCTATGAAAAACATACGTGTCCTTCTGGACAGATTTTTCGAAAAAGAGATGAGAAAATACTCTTATAACAGCCTTTTTTTCGTCGCGGAGGTCGCAAATATTTAAGAAAAAGTTCTCTACTTAAGTATATACAGGGTGGCTCATTTAATTATGGGAAAGAAACCCAATGTGTCAATTGCATAAAAGTTATGTGCAAGGGGAAAACATTGTAATGATTAAAGCGTCTTTTTAAGGCAACCGAAGTTCCACAAGTCGGGTAAATGTCCAGATTGCACGTACATTCATTGGTATGCCAGGGAGGTCTGATCAAAAACTTTTAGCTTTCATTGGCTCACCCTGTATACAGTAAGGATATGAAACAACCGAACCCAAGCGTTTTTACTTTGCTTTATGGTCTGTTTATATGTATGAGGTGATTCAAAGCCTTATCGTTTTTAGATTGTATCAAGTAAAAAGTAGGTAAACACGATAAATGGGGCTCATATTGGAGAGTCTGCCTCTTACCTGTTCACTCACAGCTCTAAATAAACAGGTCTCATCGTAAGCAATGCTTTTTCTGTACAAGTCTAGGCCTTCCAACCACTTGTCTATGTTTTGGGGATTTCGAATTTTTCGAGACATGTTTGCTGTGATAGATTGATTTAATTGAAAAAAGATTTAAAGAACAATTGAGTTCGATGCGTGAAAGAAATAAATGGAAAACTCACACTTACACTGAAGGCTTCCGAACTTTTGTAAACGGTAACGGAATAAGCCTTAGTGAGCATGAGCGAACTGCGCAAAAACCCGGTAGTTTTAAATAGAAATATTTAAATTGAAAAAATCTGCAATAAACATAAAACATGTTGATAGAGTAGGATGGCAATACCGTACTAGAGCTTTTTTCGCACTGCTTTGCCAAAAATAAATCAAACTTACATTCTTGTATGGAATTATTCAAATTCCACCGGGGGTTCCACTTTTCTACTTCTTCTTTTAGCGAAAATATTTGAATGGGCCATTGATAAATACTGGAATGGACGCGCCCTACTTCAAGCGAAGTATTAATGTGCGTGTAGTCACAGATGGAAAGAGCGAATTGCAAGGATAGAGCTAGTTTGGGCAGAAACAATATGAATTGTACAGTCTGTATCTAAGGACAGTCTAGTGGATTTTTGGACTTTTTGATTGGACAAGTGGACAGGGAAAACCTCCACTAATTTTCACGCAATTTGTCTTCGCAAAACCCTAATACTTTGATCATGTCGGTCACTTCTTCATTAGAAAAAGTGATTCAAAACATTCAAATTCATTCATTATAGCGTGTTTTTGTGACTGCTCTTGTGTATGTTGTTCATAAACGTCTGCTACAACTTGTATCTGAATAGGACTAAAAAATCAATTAATTTTGGTGATTGAAAGACGTTCTATCTGTTTAAAATAGACGGTAAAACGAGGAAGAGCTATACAGATGCACCCTCACTAAGAAAAAAATATCGAATTCAGAGTGCATATGTGCGTCCCAAGCCTCAGGCGCGAAGAGGCCGGAGTGGGAGCCGCCGTTACCGAGAAAAATCTGTTCACCCTCCCATAAAAAGTTATCACTTAAAAAAATGACTTGACTTCATCCAACAAATAAAAATTTCTGGTAGTTTTTGTACCACGACACTCAAGAATTCACCACTTGTCCAAAACAGATCGACTCGATTGTTTCATCAAAATATGAGTCATAAGGACAAATTCACAGCGAGTTTCACCATAAAAGTAAAATTCTCCCGATATTTAAGGAAAGATACATTTTTTGAATAATTTTTACTATCAATAGCAGAGGAACCAGACATTTTTTGTTAATAAAAGTTAGGTCAAATCGCCTTCTTTTGATCCAAAGAATATCGCAGTATCCTTTTGCTCATGTGCTTACGGGACACCTTGATATTTCCTCTCAATGTCCTTCCATAACGTCACAGTTTCTCATACTTTCCAAACAAATTGTTAACCGCACTTGTCACCCTAGGACAGAGAGGTTAAGTTTCTGTAAATTACTACGCTGTTTTGAACAAACTAACGAATATTTGGAAAATTCTATTTATACACGTTTATATGAACAGTCTTCAGCGCGACTGGCTTTATTTTGCTAAGTTTGCCCTGGTTGTTGTTTGTCTGTAGGTTGCACGTGAGTGTTTAATATAAGGAGCTTAAAGGTCGATTCTTGGATAAAAATCCCAATCCGCTAACTAAAACTGAGTGTAAACACATATTCAACCGTGATATGATTGAGTTGCGCCATTGAGTTGTTGCCGCTCTCTGAGTTAACGAGTTATAACTCATCGGTTAATGAGTTATAAGTCATTTATTAAAGCTTTACGAGACCCGCGACTGGAATTTGCACATCTGAAAAAAACGTCATCAACAGTTTTTCTGAGTAACGTTTTACTACTTTGTTCAAACAACTAAATAGAAGCAATCTAGATTTTCCCAGCAACAGAACTGAGTCCAAAGAAAGTCGACGAGTTTTCTTGTAAAATCGATCTCTTAATTTTTTGGATAAAATATTCAGTTTACCAGTATTTGACAGTAAAACGTTAGGAAAACCACGGTTTTTTTGTTTAGTGACAATTGTTGACCTAAAAGTGAAGAAACCCCAGTTTCCAAGAGTTTTCCAAATACATAAATTATTATAAACTTTCGCTTGTCCGTTCGGGAAAATATTTTTGAAAAAAATCAGAAATAATTATTACGGTTTTGTCCATAATTCGAAGCTGCGAAAAGTTTTCCAAAAATGTTTGCAAAACGGTTAAGGAGGCGAGTGTTCCAATAAAATGTATCTTATAATTTTTTCCAGACAATATCTGAAGATTGTCAGTATTTTAACTAAATAATAATGCGATTTTTGCGTAGAAGGAATTGCTTAATAGAAACTTTGTTGAAACTAGAATGACCTGAAAATTTAAAGAAACTAAATATTTTCAGAAAGCCGGCAAATTTTAACTTCGGCAAAAAGCTGTATAAAATTATTTAGTTTTGATGCCAAATTCGAAGCTGAAATGGGTTTTCTAAAGTTCCATGCAAGCCGATGAATAAGGCGAATTTTCTAGCAAAATTAAATTTGTAATTTTTTGCTGAAAAGACCCCATTATTGTCAGAAAAGAGGAAAATCATAAAAAAAAGTTTTTTTTGCGTTTTCGATTAAAAACTTTTAGTTTTGTGATCTGTTTTGGAGGAAACCTTAATGATTTTCGGGGAAAAACGGGAGGAATTTATTTTCGTTTTTGTCCCGAATTCGACGCTGAAAAAAGTTTTTGTAAAATGTTTACAAAGCTGTTTTTTTTTATCTTGCAATTTTGCTCGTAAAAGATCTGCAGATTGTCAGTACTTTTAAGTGAAGCTCTACGAAATTGAGGGTTTTTGAGTAGAAAGTAAAGGAAAAATTTCAGTCAAAATTAAAAAACCACATTTTTTTAACAAATTCTACAGTCTTCAGAGGTATGGAGGTGACAAAATTTCCAAATAATCTGTAAACTTTCGTTTATTCTGTTCGTTTTTTGATAGAAAATTATTTGATTTCTGTTCCAAATTTTTCGCAGAAAATACCTTGATTATCAGCATTTTTATGTGAAACTATTGGAAATACCACGTAAATGTTATCATTCCTCTTTGTCAGCAAAAACGAGAAAAGCCATAATCTATGTTTATATTCAGAGAATTCGACTCGTAATTTTGAGTCGCTGATCTAAGCATAAATGGTTAAGCTCAACCGAATTATATCGATGAATTTCAGTCTAATAAGAGAGCCTTAAAGAACTCGTTGTATCAACAACATAATAAAATACGTTCTGCTTGTGTTGAGATAAATACATAGTTATTTTATTTCAATGCTCTTTTCCCTATTAATAATCTAATAGAAACTTTAGAAAATTGAGCATTTAGAAGAAAAGCAATTTTGCTAAAACTGGAAAATTCTGAAATTTTGAAGAAATTTTAAAAATGTTATTATTAAATGGCCCTTAAAATAAATCTAAAAACAAGTAAAAAAGTCATCAACATTTTCCCAGCTACGGAACTGAGTTACTGCGCCAGTACGTTGGGCTGGCGCACCAAGCCATTTGCGTAGCCCTTACCCAGGCCTCATACAAGAGTTCATTCAGAACCGCTCCAATACTTATCAGGCGGCTTAAGAATATTAAATACGCCATCGTAGAGCGAATAAATGAATCAATTTTATTTAAAGCGTGTGACGTTCATCGGTTATTTGCAAGCAGTGTTCCGCATTTACAATGCCATTAAAACCCCGAGTTACTCCCAAAGAGCTAATGGAACATCTGAAGCATTCGAAAATTTTCGATCGAGTCACTAAAAAGGTAAGATTTTCAACGGTTCTCATTGCTAATTGTACGTTTTTACCATGTTTTTCGCGTATGAACTGTTAATTCTACGAGAAAGCCGCAAAAATATTCATAGAGCAGGTTTTGAAAATTAGATTGGAATCTGTTCGAAAGACCTAGAAAAAAAATCAAATCGTAAAATGGTTCACATTCCACACCGATAAAATACGACAGACAAGACGCTTGATAAATCTCACAGTCATCAGCGTACGAGATAAGAAAGGTTCAGTTTCGGGGCATCAGCAGTGTTTCAGCGTTATTTATAGTCTAGAAAAGTCTTCTATGGACCAACTAGGTACATGAAAAATATCGCACTTTGAGAAAAGTTACACAGACGTACTTGGGGTATAAATAAATAAATAAATAAATGACCAAGCAATGAGGAAGTTATCAGGACCGATCATACAAAATGATCGTAAAGATCAACAAAGTAATGGGAAACTTGAACATTTTTTTTTAATTTCTTTAATATATTTGCCTATCTATAGAAATCGCGCATACCAAATTTCAGCCTTCAAATAGCAATATTTAATTTGCACTAAAGAATTAAAGTTGTGACCGCAGGCTATTCATTTGAAACGACATTAAATGCGCGGGAATGGTCGTGACTAGGGCTCGGAATCAAACTCGAACAATTCGAGTATTCGAATATTCGAATATTCGAAAAGCGAATAATTATGTGTAGTCATAACTCGAATATTCGAATATTCGAATACTCAAATAATCGAATACACCAACATTATCAAACTCACAAGGTGCAAATATCTTTATATGCACTTTGTATACTTTTATAAAATAAATTATTCATATTCTACAAGCATTTAAACAAATACCCATATATTTACAAGCAAATGAAAATAATTATATTTACTCTCCTGCAAATGAATGTAAAATTATGTCTCTGTGTTCTGGTAATACGCGTCATCAACTTTTGCGCGGTGTTACAATTAATGTGCCGACAAAGGCACTTTTTTATCCGTTGCGGCTAGTTGCCAGAAATGATATGAGATAACGATTTTTCTTCTTGGAAAACGGTGAACGGAAAACGAACACTCGAATATCTAACGAATACGAATAGAAATACTCGAATATTCGAATACTCGAAAATTCGAATATTTGAATACCCGAATATTCGAATATTCGTTAAACCACTAAACGAATATTCGAATATCAGATTTTTTAAAATTCCGAGCCCTAGTCGTGACGTCATAGCGCTGGTCGTTCGATCGAAAGGCAATATGGGAATACGGCTTGTCGTTGAATTATCTGAATGTTTCAATGTTCAGAATTCGTGCTGTGCTTTATTAATAATGGAAGCAACACAAAAACAATATTACGAATGCTGTATGGTGCCACTGTGTCTTATTCGTGTACCACGAGATAAAAACCGGCGTTTAAAATGGTTAAAGCTTAAAGGTATACACAAGGATATTTCGGAGAAGACTACTGCCCATGTATGTGAAGATCATTTTAATGTAAGTATAAAAAACAGATTTGATTTTGTCTATTGTAACAGATAAATATTTTGAATTGGTATTTTGTTTGCTTTTCGGCAGCATTATAGTAATAATAAATAATCACCTCAAAAATAGATAATTGCTATACTAGACGATAAAAAGAAACAAGTATCTGCGAAGGAAAAATTTCGTTTTATTGTCGTGCCTTGACGTTAAATACCTGCTATTTTTGCCATACAATATGAATATTTATTTATTCTAGCTGGAAGAAGATATGGATAATTATGTTAAATTCAAGTTGATTGGCAGATCTGAAAAAATAAAGGCAAAATGTACTTGTAACTTGCACCCATCCTACTGCAGAAACTTCATAAGAATACCTTCTCGATCTGTAAATAACGTTTTTTAAAACTTAGTCTTCATTTTTAATAACAATTCATTTTTAGTAACAATTTTACTTTTTTAGTCTTTTTACAAATATGATGTTTTGAAATAAGTTACAATTATCATGTTACATTTTATATTATAAATGAAAAAATATAATTGAACTTTACCATGCGGCAGCGTGCAACGCGTTTTTTAGTGATTATAATCATCGACCGACGTTGTAAATCAAACGCGACTTTCGGTATCCATACGTATCGGTGCGGGTCCGAGTATTGATTACAAGTTAGTTTAGATCATGATACAATGAATACACAGGGTGACCAGACTGAGAAAAGTCTAGTCAAAGTTCAATACTGTTAAAGAGCTTTCAATTAAGAGCATAAAAGTTCATAGAGAAGTACCTAGTACTGGATGTAGACGTACAACAGTACTTGAGTAAGTTTTTGAGTCATTTGAGTAATGATGTTAGGGGCGGGTACTGGCTGTGGATGTCCCGCAGTACCTGGGCTGTGAACCCATTGTGAGAGAGGACGCTAGTAGGCGGGTACTGGCTGTGGACAGGGTGACCAGACTGAGAAATGGCAAGGTCGTCAAAAATCGCCAAATGTAGACTTAAAAATCGCCGGTTTTGGCGCCAAGTAAATTCAAACGTAAACCAATAAAAACAAAGCGCCACACGCCTGGTCACCCTGGCTGTGGATGATCCGCAGTACCTAGTCAGCAATTGAAATACTGTTTATCATGATAAATGCCGGTGACTAGTAAGGCTTTTCCTGAGCAGGTATTTCGCGCGCAGTACCCTTAATACCTCTTAACAACCCAAGTTTAGCCGTGGCAGGATACAAACTCGGTTGTAGTTTTGCGGGGGAGTGTAAATATATATTTTCTTAGTAGTTGATGTTTACTTGTTATGTGTATAAACGAACGCCCCTACACCAGTTAGTTTAGCCACTCTGAACGAGTACGAGTAGTACAGTATTGGGCTTTGAAGTCCAAGGTTAGGATGAGTGACTTGATTTTCCGAGAACGATTACTGATTACTTGAATACTCGTTTGGTAGCTTGGTTCGGTATTCGTTACTTCGCATACTGATGAGTAACGAGTACTCGAATACCGATTAGTTACTTTTTTCCCACCACTATTAGGGAGCCTTTGCTGCTATTCTCAAGGTCTTGTTTGTTTTGCTGAGTCTGCGTATATGTAGCTCTCCGTTGCTTTTGTCATTGGAATGTCTGCCATGTGGATGTTGAACAAACGGGGACCCAACACGGACCCCTGAGGTACTCCTGACATTATCGTTCTGATCGTTGACATCGCAATCATCAGCTTTGACTTGGAAGCTGCGTCCAGACAAGTAGCTGCGGATTAGCTGGATTTGGTGCTCAGGAAACCCTGCCTTGATCATTTTGGCAATTAGGCCCTGATGCCAAACCTTGTCAAATGCCTTTGCCATATCCAGGAAGACGGCTCCTAGATCGCGTCGGCGGTTTAACTGGTGCAGGATTCTTGTTGTTAGCCGGGCGGTGAGAGTGTTTGTGCCGTGTCCCGGCCTGAACCCATGTTGCTCATCCAGCAGCACTTGCTTCTCCTCTATTGTATCCTGTAGGTGGTTCAGGATACACCTCTCCATGACCTTGTTCAGTGTAGGCAGTAGACTGATGGGCCTGTAGGACGTAAGCAGCTTCCTGTTCTTGCCTTTTTGGGTACCAATACCATTATTGCCTTCTTCCAGGTGGTCGGGAAGTATTGAAGGTCCAAAAGTTCATTTGCCACTGTGGAAAGGTCTTCAATAGCTGTTTGCGGTAGTTTTTTGAGGATTTCGCCCAAGGGCCTTTTTTCTCTTGGCCCCCTTGACGATGTTCTCGATGATCTCTTTGGTGACTCTTCTGGGTTTGGTGGGCTACCAGCTCATTGAGTGTCCTCTCTTGTTTTGGGTGATCAACCAGGTTTTCCCGGCTCTAGGTGGGCGGCAAAGAGCTCAGCTTTTTCCTTGGGACGATCCACAGTGGTGATGTCATCTTCTTGGATTGGTGGTATTGGCTTTCTTGGTCCTGCTGTGAGACACCTGGCCAACTTCCAGAGATCTCTTCTTGACCCATCAGCCTCTATTTTGTCCATGCGATTCTCCCAGAGTTGCGATCGAAGGATTTTCATGTCTTCCTTGATTGCATTCTGGAGGCGGTTGGCTTGTCTCTTCAGGTGTGGATCTTGCGTTCGCATGGCGGCTCTGCGTCTTATCCGGTTTTTCTCCCTGATTTTGGATTTTAACCAGAGAGGAATTGTGTTCATTTGGGCTATCGGAACTACGGATAGACATCTCGAGGTTGCCAGGCGTTCGTAATATCCCTGGTGAGTCTTTCGGCTGCCTGGTCCAGGTGTTTCTTTGTTGTGGGCTGATGGATCCTGCCGGTGCTTTCCAATGTTCTCTGGAAAGCCTGCCAGTTGGTGATCCTTCGAGTCTCCGTGGAGCCTTGATTTGGTTCAATTTGCATGAGAATCGGCAAGTGGTCTGCTCTGCTGTTCACTTGACCAGTCTCTTCATAGCGTCTAACTGTCCTGCTAACTGGGCTTCTAAGAAAGTTCCGCCTTGTGGAAATATTGTGCCTAGATAAACGTTCTTGTCACAGAGCAATCATTCTAGTCTCTTGTACTAGATTCTGGCATGATTCAGGTACTAATGCCGGCTGCTAGTGATCAATATAAAGGTGTAATTTTTGCAGCATCACAATTTCAAAGAGGTAAACAATATTTTTTGGAAATTCCATCAGTTCCTTCACTTGTAAGCAAGTATGTTTTATTTACCAATAAAACAATTTTGTTTAAATTAAACGTATGTAGTAAATACAGAGGGGTAGATAAGTTCTATATTGTTGAGGCGGATTCATTTTTTTACAAACTTCTTGTTGGGTATTTCGTCTCAAAAATTTTTCTCTTTAAAAAAGACAGAATTTCCTCACGTCTTTTGCATGAAAGCTTGTTGTCTAAAAACTGCATGAGTTTATTTTCATATTATGGCGAAAAAGCCCGACTCCGAAGGAGGAGGGCTTTTTCGTTCCAATGTGAAAATAAACGAATGCAGTTTTTACAAGACAACAAGCTCGAATGCAAAATTATCTGTTTATTTTGATGCACGAGTGTAATTTTTATGAATATTTCCTGAGTAAACAACGTTAATGTGGATTCATTTTATTTCTATTATATTTTATTACACTTTTAATTTTATTACTTATGTTTATTAAATATAATTTGAATATCTTAGGTATATCTCAGGAAGACATTTATGTCTAATTCAACATGAAAAGACAACTGTCAAATATTTTTGGTAAACAATGCAATTATCGTTGAGTGATAATTGCACACCGTGCAATTACCGCTGTAATTTTTCGATAATTGCACACTTCAAACGGATAGATTATCATACGAAGGAAATATTCGCTGTAAGTTTTCTTGAAAATTATCGAATTACCGTTTATTAATACCTTTTTTGCCCTATGGCGTTGCTATGGATGAGTGAAATAATCTCTTACAGCTTGAGCCTAAGTGTGTCGCAGGATACCCTCTAAGTGATAGTTCTTGATTACTTTTTGATAAATAATTCGTTCTCATTGCGAAATAGGAGCACTATTTATCAATCTGTAATAGAAGACGTGAGGAAATTCTGTCTTTTTTAAAGAGAACAATTTTTGAGGCAAAATACTTAACAAGAAGTTTGTAAAAAAATACAGAGGGGGTGCAAGACTTTTGAAAGTGAGCGTAGTTAAATTAGATTAATTAATAAACCAATGAACATTCAAGCTGGGGCTTGCGCTCTGCTATTGCCATTCGATGTTTCGTTAAATTTTCCATTAATGTTTCCTCAGGGGTGCTTTGCATTTTGTGGTCTTAAAAGTAGTTTTCAATTTCAACAGGTAAACTTTCTTTCGTTTGAAAATGGAAATGGCCTGGCTGAGTTTTCCGTTGAAGAAGAACACACCAACTCCATGGGACAACTGCATACAGGGTTCGCTTCCATGCTCGCCGATATTGTATCTAGCTATTCGTTTTCCACACACGAACAGGGCAATAATTATCATGTCTCCATTGATATGAAGTTGTTGTAAGTTATTTTATCCATCTAACTTGAAATTGGCGAGCGTTTCGTGTTTTTAGGTCGTCGTAAAATCGAATTTCTTTCTGAGTGGCTTGCCTTTTCAGAAAAAAATCTATTTCACCTATGGCCCAAAAACCCGGAAAAAATAATCAATTTTCAAGGCTCGTTTGATTGGTTGGTTGTTTCAGATTTTACAAAACACAGACGAAAATAGGGGATGAAGTGCAGGTGCGCGCCAAAACATTACGCGCTGATAAATCGGTAGCATTTTTGGAAATTGCATTAAAAAACAAAACAACGGATAGTTTGATAGCGACTGGGAATCACGATATGTTCATTCTACGCCCTCGCACCTCAACAGCTCATTATTCAGCACGTCTGGAAGAACATGCCAATCAAGCAAACGTGGCTGGCGACGGATCATAATTTGTTGCCGTTATTTCATCAGTGCATATGTTTATTTATGATTTAAGTTTTTTAGGACCAAGAGTGGTATATTTGGTTATGCATATGTAGCAGTTTTTGTTTCTGTTCTTATATAAATTGTTGTAACTGGATCTAGTGCGTATTTTTACCGAACTCCAGACGCTCTGAAACGGCTTTAGCTTGCAGAGTAATCTGCAACATTTGTACTAATTTTCGACACATTCCAAAGAATCATTTTGCCTCAAATGCCTCAATCAATCGTGTACCAAAATAGTGAGAATTTAGCGGTTCATCATGCGATTTCATGCCGGTTATTTTTTCTTTAGGGGTTTTCCAAAGGAACTACTTGATTGGAGAATTGAACAGGGCCACGAAGAGACAAAAGAAGAAATTTGAAAAATTGGAAGCCAAATCTAGAGGAACAACCCAAATAACATCAGGCCTGGACCCAGCACGAACTGTAGTGAACCTGAGCAGTCACTCACTAACGCCTGCGGAGCAATCTGTCTTAGCCCAGGGAGGAAACTTTGCTTTAGCCCGAGAACGATACCAATAGAGGAAATTATCTCGAACACCGAAACAGCATTGCAAGGGCTCCCAGAACAATCGGCAAATTAAATGCGTCTGGAAACCACCCAAGTCCTACGGAAAGCAAAACCACAGAGAAGAACAACATGCGCTCAAGGAAATACGAAGGAATACAAGGATTGTCGCCCTGCCAGCTGAGAAAGGAAACGCTACAGTCGTCATGAACAGAGAGGAGAACGAGCAGAAAATCGAAAACTTATTGGACCCAGTCACTTACACGAAGCTTGAAAAAGACCCGACTCGAGCCAAGCTCAGAAAGATCAACCGCCTGATCAAAATATTCTCAATAGACGAGAACACCATGAAGAGGATTATTAGGTCAGAAGCCCTCCCCCCATGTTGGTATGGATTACCGAAGATTTACAAGGAAGGATTACCACTAAAACGAATCGTCAGTGCCCCGGGATCACCAACTTACGATATATATATATAAAATATCTATCCTCTCTTCTGCAGCCACACTTGGGGTCCACAGAAACATACATAAAGGATTCCGAACATTTCATTAAGAAGATCCAAGACCTCAGAGTGGAACCTATGAACATGCTGGTCAGCTTCGATGTTGTATCTCTATTTACAAAGGTACCCTTGGACGATTCTATAAAATTAGTGGCGGAGCTAATAGAAGAGAGTACAACAAATCTATTCAAGGCTTGTCTAAAGGACAGCTACTTCCTGTGAAATGGAGATTACCACGAGCAAAAGGAAGGGGTAGCCATGGGAATCCCACTCAGCCCGGTGGTGGCAAATCTATTCATGGAGAAGTTTGAGGTAACAGCGTTGAGCCCCGCACCGCTTAAACCAACGATCTGGTACCGATATGTCGATGACACGTTCATGCTATGGAGGCTTGGACGCGAAAGCCTGGACATCTTCCTCGACCATCTAAACAAACGGCACCCAGACATCCAATTCACCATGGAAGTTGAACAAAACCACCAACTGGCTTTCCTGGATGTTTTGGTGTCTAGGGAGGGAAATCGTTTGGACCACAAGGTATATCGAAAAGCCACCCACACGAACAGATATCTTCACACGCTATCTAACCACCATCCGAGTCAGAAGCAGGGAATCATTAAGACTTACGGATAGAGCCAGAAGTATATGTGGACCACAACATCTAACCACAGAACTACAGCACTTGGAAAAAGCGTTTCTTCAGAACGGATATTCCCAGTTGAACATCAAAAGAGCTGTAGGAGTGGGCCGTGGGAAAAAAAGTAAATCCACTATGAAAGCTTTCCTGCTCTTTGTTCCCTGGGTTACGGACAGAATTGGGAGGCTCCTGAGGAAACACAACATAAAATAATTAAAATTTCGCAACCGTGTTTTTTACCTTCATTGGATTGTTTCCGACCTAAGAAGGTGCCCAATAACGAATATGAAGGTTGTATGTCCATAATAAGAAAGATATCGTCCGTCGAAGAGTGCGACCGCTCAGAAACAGTTCAAAATAGACAGAAAATGTTGATTATCTGGGAACTGGAAAGGCCCCAGTGCTATTTAGCTTGTTGCATTCCTTGTCTTTTTTCGATGAAAATGATGTATAATTCGAGGTATTTTTTTCAAAAATCAAAATTTCGCAACCGTGTTTTATCTCCTTACTGGATTGTTTCCGACCTAAAAAGCTGCCCAATAACAAATATGAAATTTGTGAAAACCGTATTTTTATTTCATTTGGTGCACAACTGTTTTGGCCCTTAGCGCTTCTCAAGGCTCCTTTTTCTCTACCGTCTCTTGGTGTTGTTGTTCCTTTATTTGCTTTCTTGTGGACCTTAAAGGCGCGTCTCGTTTCCTTTTCGCTTCCTGTTGGGTTTTGCGACCTCGTTATCTTCTGGGATTATTTTTACCGCTTCTTATTTCCGCTCTTCTTTGGGCTTTTCTCAGTTTTTCATGTCTGGTTAACGATCACTTCAGGAGATGTTGATGCATGTTTTATAGCTCTTGTTGTTAAAGTACAACAGAATGAAATCAATTACAATTCCCATCAACTTCCAGGGTTGTCTGGCTGATTCTGATCCCTGAAAAACACAAAACAAACTAACCCTGACTTTTTGCTCGTCATGGCGGTAAATTCGCATTTAAAATCGTTATCGTGCAAATAGACAGTGCGATGAAACATGGAAGAGCTCATATTAACGTTATTATAACGCTATCATGCAAGGTTGCACAATGAATCTGAGTAAACATTTGTCACTTTTACTATTAAGTGTACTTTATTATAAATTAATCACTTCAGTTTTGATTATAGTTTGATTTAAAATGTCCTGCCGCCCTTTACTCTTTCGTTTCAATGATGCGATTGCGCTCAATTTATCTTATTAAGTTGTGTTTTATGCTGTTTTATACCGTTTTATAATGTTTAGACATCGATTCCTAATTTGCGGAAAAAAACAGGATCTAAACAAAATTGTGCGACTAATTTCCCACATATTGTATAGGTTGTGCATGACGGTTACGTGATAACATAGAAATTTTTAAACGTCCTAAATCATTTTCCAATATTTACCTTACCAGGATGCTGTCTTACTGTAAGAGAGTAAGCCAAAGTTAAACACGCAAACCTACATATAATTCTAAGGAGCAGACATTTAAATTAATTATTGTTTATGTTGAATATTGCCGGTGTGTTAAACGTTAGAAAATCAGTTAGGATTTGGTGAACATGGACATTGATATTGATTTTATCGATAGCCGGAAAGGTAGTGCAAAGGGCTCGATTACTGTGCCCTCTAGAAAAGGTAAGTGTTTGCCTTAACAAACTAGAAAGCAGTGCTGCGCACTAATTAATGTACTTTTTGTTAGTACAAATCCACGATTAGTGTGCTTTAAAGCTGGGTGATTGATCGAAATGATTGAAAACCACGAACAGAATCCGACTCGAAGGACCAAAGTGTATTCGAAATTAAGCGTTTTAAATCCCAAATCAACTGAAGTTTCGATAGATTCAGGAACAGTTTTTCAGTTCTAGGGGAAGTGCAGTGAAAGTGCAACCGATTTGGTCGGGTTTATTCTGGGAGATTCTCTACATCCGCTACCTTTTTTTTACATAAAATCGTTCAAGTTCCTTCGGTGTAAGGGAAATCAAACGCAATTTCCGAGTCGAAGAGCCAAAATATGTTCTAAAAATCAGTTGAGTAAAAGTTTCCAAATTTGATTTGGCCTCTTGATCGAAATGACGATCGAAAACTGAATAATTTGAATTGAAAACTGAAAATGTTTGCAGTGCACATAAGAGTTTGCCCTTTCTTCAGGCAAAGTTTTCGTAAAGTTTCGTAAGAATGGATTAATTGTGTCATTTTTGGCAAATTTGCAAAAGCTCAAGTTTTTGTGAATCGTGAGTGCGGCAGCTAGTTTTCAAAATGTAAACTACTCGAAAGTCTGAAGACTAAGAATTCAGTTTTTACAATTTTCGCGAAAGAAAACTTTGGTGAAAGTCTCCGTAAAATTTCTTTGGAATTGATTTATATTACAATTTCTCGCCAATTTGCAAAACTGCGGATGATGTTAATCATCCGCATCAACAAATCAATTGCTGTTCAGTCCGTCCAGTTCGAAATGAAAATTTTTGCAGTGCACATAAGGGAAAACTTCAGAGAAATTTTTTGTAAAGTTTCATCGACATGGATTAATCGTGTGATTTTTGACGAATTTGCAGATGCTACAGTTTTTGTGAATCATAAGTGCGGCAGGTAGTTTTCAAAATGTTAACTACTCGAACGTCTGAAGACTCAAAAACTCAGTTTTTCAAATTTTCACGAAAGAAAACTGGTGAAAATATCCGTAAATTTTCTTTGGAATTAATTGCTGTTGCTGATTTCTGACCAATTTGCAAAAATTACAGATGATGTTAATCTTGAGATTCTCAGGTAATTTAAAAAAATCAATTGCTTTTTAGTCCGTCCAATTAGAAACAACATTTTTGCAGTGAACATAAGGGCAAGCTTCAGGGAATATTTTTGTAAAGTTTCATTAGAATGGATTAATGGTGTGATTTTTGGCGAATTTTCAAAAGTTGCAATTTTTGTGAACCTCGAGGTAGTTTTTAAAATGTAAACTGCTCGAAATCGTCGAGGCTTGGAAACTTAATTTTTCCAATTTCCGTGAAAGAAAACTTTGGGCGAAAATATCCGTAAAATGTCTTTGGAATTGATGGCTGTTACGATTTCTGGCCAATTTGCAAAAATTACAGATGATGGTAATCTTGGGGTTATCAGGTAATTTAAAAAAATCAATTGCTTTTCAGCCCGTCCAGTTAGAAACCACACTTTTGCACTGCACACAAGGACAAACTTCAGGCAACATTTTTGTAAAGTTTCATCAGAATGGATTAATCGTGTGATTTTTGGCGAATTTGCAAAAGGTGCAAGGTGGTGGTTTTTGTGACTCGTGAGTGGCTCAGGTAGTTTTCTAAATGTAAACTACTCGAAAGCATCAAGACTTAGAAACTTAGTTTTTCCAATTTCTGTGAAAGGAAACTTTGGTAAAAGTCTGAGTAAAGTTTCTTTGGAATTGATTGATATCAAGATTTCTGGCCAATTTGCAAACATTAAAAATGATGTTAATCTTGGGTTTCTTAAGTAATTTAACAAAATCAATTGCGTTCCAGTCCGTCCAGTTAGAAACCACACTTTTGCAGTGCACATCAGGGCAAACTCCAGGGATCATTTTTGTAGTTTCGTTAGAATGGATTAATCGTATGGTTTTTAGTGAATTTGCAATTTTTGTGAATCATGAGTGCGGCAGGTAGTTTCAAAATGTAAACTTCCGAGGCCGAGAGTCCCGAGGCTTAGAATCTTAGTTGTTCCAAATTTCACGTAAGGAAGCTTGTGTGAAAATTTCCGTAAAATTTCTCTGGAATAGATTGCTATTACGATTTATGGCTAATTTGCAAAATTTACAGATGATGATTATCTTGGCTTTCTAGGGTAATTAAAAAAAAATAATTGTTTTTCAGACCGTCCAATTAGAAACTATATTTATGCAGTGCACCTAAGGGCAAACGTTAGTCAAAGTTTTCGTAAAGTTTCATAAGAATGAACTAATTGTGCCATTTTGTTCAAATTCCGATCAAAATATGTAAATAACTCAGAAGTCGGTCAGGTTATGGCGAATGTTCATAGAAGTTTGCCAATTTTAAATAAATGGCACCATTTTCCCAAGTATTACTAAAAGCAACCGCACCGTCCGGCTCGAAGGACCGAAATAAACTTTAAATATACCTATACATACAACGTCTTGTGTAACCGTCAAGTTTCCGTTCGATCGCGCATTAAAATTGACTACATAAAATGGAGTTTGCGACAAAAATGTACAATAATTCTGAATAATTCCAAATGAAAAATGTAAGTAAGAACACAATGGTTTGCTTAACTTAAGTAGAAAGTTATCTAAAAGAGTTCGAGAAAGAGAAAAATTATGATATAATTGCTGTTATTGACTATAAAGAAACCTGCTTTTTATGATAGTTATATTCACATAAAAACTCCCAATTTTGTTGTTGTTCCAACCTGGGTTTTAAAATACTCAAAAACATTCATATATTGTGAATTTTTAGCATTTAAAGTCGCTTCTGTAAACTTGGCTTTTTGAAAAAGCTTTTACTAATTAATATTGATAAGTTTTTTCGCTCTTTTTATCTTTTATTCTTCGCTTCAAACCATTTATGCCTCGAGGGATCGTACATATCATCCACTTCTATCCAACTTTTTCTGCTTTTTGTGTGGTTGCCTTATTCAGATTTCCGTCCTCCTGATTAAGTTTCATGTAATGAGCAAGTAATGGTTGTTGCGTGAACTTTTAATCGCGAATACTTGATAGAATAATGAAAAAACCTAAAAATACATGCGATGCGGTTCACTCGAGTGTGTTTGCTATTTTTCGATAATGATTAAATTTACTATACACACTCAACATTTATCACTTTGTGTCTAATTATTTTACTCTTAAAATGTTTTGGTGTTTCGGTAAGAATTGTGCAACGTGAGACTCGGGTGGAATAATATTAAATAAATTATTTGTAAGTATGCCGCAGAAAGATGTAGCTATTAAGCTGTTAGGCACGAATGAAGGTAATTTCGGCTACTGCCAAAAGAAAACCCTTCTAGTGAGCAACTTTTTTTGCAGTTTCCGCCCTTGAGCCTGCAACATTTGAAGAAGCCATCACTGCAACCCAATTTGGAAAGTACAATGTGGTTTTGGGATTTTTGGCGGGTATCGCAAGTCTTTGCGCTGTTTTCGACACGTCCACTATGTCCTATACTTTTGTGTCTGCTCAATGCGATTTGAACATATCTCTAAATGATAAAGGTCTTTTAAATGCGGTCACATATGCAGGTAAAAGGAATGCAAAATTCCGTTTCCTTTAAACACATTTAAACTGTTTTCCAGGCATGATCTCAAGCGCTCTGATCTGGGGGTTTCTCTTCGACGTGCTGGGACGAAGAAAACTGTTAATTTTGGGATTTCTTGTCGACGCAGTATTTGTATTTATGAGCGTTTTGACGCAAGGATTACCTCTGCTGCTTGTTTCCAAGTATTTGCAAGGATTTATGTAAGTTTGCGTGAACTAGAATTTCTTTCCGATGTTTCGCAAGCACCATCGGTTTTTTTTTCGAGTAAACCACCTTTGAAGATCCAAATCACTCGTGCTAGCGAAACGTCTGGAAGAAACCTGTTGCTCGTTTCCAACTCCCTGCAAGAATTTATGTAAGTTTACGTGCAAATAATCATCGTCATAAATTACAATTTTTTCCGGATGTTTCACAAACACCATTGCATCTTTTTTTCGAGTAAACCACATTTAAAGATGCAAATCGCTCGTTCTAGCGAAACGTCTGGAAGAAACATGTTGCTCGTTTCTGCTGCTACCAGCAAAAATGTATGTAGGTTTGCGTGAAAATAATCATCGTCGTGAATTAGATTTTTTCCCGATGGTTCGCAAGCATCATCGAATCTTTTTTTCGAGTAAACCAGCTAACAGTTACAAGGAACCATCGCGACATTTTATCGCTTTTAATAATGAAACCTGGTGTTGTGAAGTGGAATTGAGCAGTTTTGTGCTACTTCGCCTTAACACATTTTGAACAAAAATCGATCCGCAAGTTGGAGCCCGACAACATCCAGTTCTCGATAAAATGCTGCCATTAGAGAACACCCTACAACTAAAATGTAGGATATCAAGCATTTTATATTTGAAAACATCTACCCGAATATCGTCAGATTGAAGCCCTTTCTTCTCAACGTTTGGAAAGCCCAAGTCACTGCCATCTTCAGAACTCTGCTCGATGCAGAATCGCCAATTCATGGGTCTTCGTGTTTCGTTCACGCTCATGTACCTTCATGCTCTGGCTCAATCAACTCTGAAGACGTACGCTACACTTGCTGGCGAAACATCAGGACTAAATTGCGCCAATTGCAGACAACATTTTCTTAATAAACCAATGTAATTTTTTTAGAATTAATGGTCCATTTGCAGCAGTGAGTTCATACATTTCGGAATTTCACTGCGCCAAATATCGGCCTATTTACCAGATGATTATTGGATCAAGCAACAGTTTTGGCACTGTTTTACTACCCCTGATAGCTTGGTTGATTTTGCCACGAAATATGGATTTTACCATAGTGAACTTAAGTAAGTAGAATTTTAAACAACCATGTGACCAATTTTCAATTGATTTCGACTGTATTTGTTCTGAGTGTTATTTGTACTTAGTCGTAGTGTTAAGGCAAGCGAATATTTGTTGGCTTGGGGCGAACGGAACGAATGAAGATGAATGTTTGATTAATTTATACATCTTTATGTAATGCAGTAGTTTCATTCGATTTTCACGTTAACTATGAATACTAGAGTAAGTTTTAAGGAAAAAAGAGTTGAAAGTAAACGCACGTTCGGCCGCTTGGCATCGACGAACGGAAAGATTGAAAATTAATGCGTTCGTTTCGTTCCTCTGAAGCGAAGAAATTAACTTCTTTAGTAATTTTTGATAGGCTCTCTTCTTCATGTGTCCTGTGCGTGTTCGCACGTTGACGATCCTTTGCCTTTCTCTCACATCATATGCAGGATGCCATTCTTTGCATGATGAAATATCGTGGTAGCATCTCTTATGCCACACCAATTCCTTATGTTTCGGAGCTAAGAATGCTGCTTTCGTCCCGGGCATCTTCGCCCTTTTATCTTGCCCTGCAAAATCGGCTTAGGGATTGAGAATTTGTTGACATTTCTAAGAATATGACCAAGATAGGATATCTTCCGCTTATTTACAGTGTCCAGCATTTCTCTTTGCATACCAGCCATCCTCAAAACTTCTTCGTTCGTTTTGTGTGCAGTCCATGGAATACGCAGGAGCCTGCGAAGTGTTGACACTTCAAATGCCTCTATGCGGGTTAGTGTCCTGATTTTTAAAGACCCTGCTTCTGCTCCACAATATTGAGTATTATACTTTTACTCTAGAGACAAGAGGACAAAAATCTGTCCGTCATCATCATGCCTGGACTCTCACATTGAGATTGAAGAAATCCATGCTGAAATAGAAGCCCTCAGTTTCAATCCCGAACAGACCCAATTCTGCCGTCTGGGAAACTTTAAAAACGTTTCGAATATGGCAAAAGTCCTCTTACCGCAATCCCAGTCAAACTTCCAGGAAGTCAAACATCTCTTGAACCTCCCTGTCCTAATTGAACCCCAAAGAAACTCCAATACCTTCAATATAAAGCATTCCACAATGCAAAAATTGTCAGAAATTTGGGCACTCACTATCAAACTGCGGCTCAAAACCCATTGTCACTAATGCGCTGAGCCCCACTTCTATAAGGAGTGCCAGAAATTCCGCGACCTTCCAGCCAAATGCAGTAAGTGCGGAGGGCCTCACCAGTTACTTCCCTTGCCCCAAAAACCCCAACTACAGATTTCAAACCGAAGCGAAGCAAAAGCAAGCCCTCTTCAACAACAAAGTCCTCCAGCGGTGGGCTTGTAGACTGTTCTTATGTTCTGTTTCCTCAGGAGCCTCCCAATTCTGTCTGTAATCCTGAGAACAAAGGACAGGAAAGCTTTCAGGGTGGATTCACTTTTTTCAGCACGGCCCACTCCTACAGCTTTTCTGATGTCCAACTGGGAATATCCGTTCTGAAGAAAAGCTTTTTCCAAGTGCTGTAGTTCTGTGGTTAGATGTTGTGGTCCACATATACTTCTGGCTCTATCCGTAAGAGTCTTAATGATTCCCTGCTTCTGACTCAGATGGTGGTTAGATAGCGTGTGAAGATATCTGTCCGTGTGGGTGGCTTTTCGATATACCTTGTGGTCCAAACGATTTCCCTCCCTAGACACCAAAACATCCAGGAAAGCCAGTTGGTGGTTTTGTTCAACTTCCATGGTGAATTGGATGTCTGGGTGCCGTTTGTTTAGATGGTCGAGGAAGATGTCCAGGCTTTCGCGTCCAAGCCTCCATAGCATGAACGTGTCATCGACATATCGGTACCAGATCGTTGGTTTAAGCGGTGCGGGGCTCAACGCTGTTACCTCAAACTTCTCCATGAATAGATTTGCCACCACCGGGCTGAGTGGGATTCCCATGGCTACCCCTTCCTTTTGCTCGTGGTAATCTCCATTTCACAGGAAGTAGCTGTCCTTTAGACAAGCCTTGAATAGATTTGTTGTACTCTCTTCTATTAGCTCCGCCACTAATTTTATAGAATCGTCCAAGGGTACCTTTGTAAATAGAGATACAACATCGAAGCTGACCAGCATGTTCATAGGTTCCACTCTGAGGTCTTGGATCTTCTTAATGAAATGTTCGGAATCCTTTATGTATGTTTCTGTGGACCCCAAGTGTGGCTGCAGAAGAGAGGATAGATATTTTATATATATATATCGTAAGTTGGTGATCCCGGGGCACTGACGATTCGTTTTAGTGGTAATCCTTCCTTGTAAATCTTCGGTAATCCATACCAACATGGGGGGAGGGCTTCTGACCTAATAATCCTCTTCATGGTGTTCTCGTCTATTGAGAATATTTTGATCAGGCGGTTGATCTTTCTGAGCTTGGCTCGAGTCGGGTCTTTTTCAAGCTTCGTGTAAGTGATTGGGTCCAATAAGTTTTCGATTTTCTGCTCGTTCTCCTCTCTGTTCATGACGACTGTAGCGTTTCCTTTCTCAGCTGGCAGGGCGACAATGCTTGTATTCCTTCGTATTTCCTTGAGCGCATGTTGTTCTTCTCTGTGGTTTTGCTTTCCGTAGTGGTTTCCAGACGCATTTAATTTGCCGTTTGTTCTGGGAGCCCTTGCAATGCTGTTTCGGTGTTCGAGATAATTTCCTCTATTGGTATCGTTCTTGGGCTAATAGCAAAGTTTCCTCCCTGGGCTAAGACAGATTGCTCCGCAGGCGTTAGTGGGTGACTGCTCAGGTTCACTACAGTTCGTGCTGGGTCCAGGCCTGATGTCGTTTCAGCTGTTCCTCTAGATTTGGACCGTTTACCCTCTTGATTTTAATCTGTCTGCAGTATGATTTTAATCTGTCTGTTGAAGGTCCTCAGGGGTATTCGCCAATATAGCGGTATCATCCGCATATCTAATATTATCGATTCGAATTCCATTGATCTTGATTCTTCTGTTCTCTTCTTCCAAAGCTAATTGAAAGACCTTTTCTACATATGTATTGAATAAGATTGGCGATAAGATACATCCTTAACGGTCCCCTGGGAAATATTGAACGTCTCCGTTGTTAACTCATTGTTGATTCCCACCTCTACACTCTGTTGCCAATACAATTGATGGATTATTCTGATGTCCTTAGAATCTATGCCATTCTCATAACCTTTCCAGTAAACTCTATAACCTTTCCAATACAGGATCGTCTAGAAAACATACAAGCACGTTTTCTTGTTGGTCGTAACATTTCTGTACGAGCAATTTCACAGAAAACAGAGCCTCTCTTGTGCCCAACCAAATTGGGTTTCTCCCCTCATTGCTGCACATTTGGTATATATTTGATTGTGTATAACGCATAGAAAAACCTTGAGAGGATAACTCATGAGATTTATAAGTCTCTAGTCTCCACACATCCTAGGAGTCCCTGTTTTAGGGAGAGGTATAAATGTAGACTTTAGCCAGTCCGATGGGATTTTGCCTGTCTCGTATATTCTATTACACAAGTATGATAGATATCTTGCATCCAATATCTTCAGGACTTCAGCATGAACGTTATCATGTCCTAGACTTTTTCGATTTTTCATGTTTTTTAGTGCTTAGTGCTCTAAAATTTCGGGTCCGGCTAGTTCTTCTGGTGTGTGTATGTGCCTTGATCGGCGATGATCTTCAAAAAGTGTTTCCGCGTATTGTTTCCATTTATTACGAGGGTCATCTGGGTCTAGGATGATTCTACCATTTTCTATTCTCAGAGACGGTATTGGTGCTTTTCCGAGAGAACCAGTAACTTGTTTTACTTTCGTATGAAAGTTGAAAGAGTCTCATGTATTCTTTCGGCTTCCTCGCATTCCTCAATCATCCACCGTTTTCGGGTTTCTCTCCATTTCTGTCTGATTTTTCGGTTCAATCCAATGAATTCGTCGGCTCGTAGTTGATTTTTTGCTTTTCGCCGTTCCTCCATTCTATCTAGAATCTAATCAGTCATCCAGGGTCTGACCCTGACCCGCTCCTGCTGACCCAGAATCACCTCGCAAGCATTCTGGACATTTTCCCTGATATGGTTCCATGTGCCATCTGGTTCACACTTGCTTCTAGGATCTTCTGAGCTACATAGCTTATCTAGATCCACTCTCATATCCACTTTGTTACTTAGCTTACATTAGGCCTGGGTAACACTGTGTTGAGTTGAGCTTTTGAGTTGGTGCCGCTCTCTGAGTTAACGAGTTATAACTCATCGGTTAATTAGTTATAATTCATTTGTTAAAGCTCTACGAGACCCGAGACTGGAATTTTCACATCTAAAAAAGGGTCTTTAACATTTTTTCTGAGTACCGATTTACTACTTTGTTCAAACAACTAAAAAAAAGTAATCTAGATTTTCCCAGCAACAGAACTGAGTCCAAAGAAAGTCGACGTTTTCTTGTAAAATCGATCTCTTAGTTTTTTTTGCAGAAAAGATTCAGTTTGCCAGTATCTTACAGTAAAACGTTAGGAAAACGCGGTTTTGCTGTTTAGAGACAGTGTTGTTTAGAAATATTGACCTAAAAGTGAAGAAACTGCAGTTTGAGGCAACTGAGGGGAATGTTGCAATAACATTTATCTTATAACTTTTCATAGAAAATTCCTGAAGATTGTCAGTATTTTAAGTAAAACTAAAAATAATGCAATTTTTGCGTGGAAAGAATTGCTGAATAGAAACTTTATGAGAACTGGAAAGACCTGAAAATTTAAAGGAACTTTAAAAATCTTCAGAGCGATGAGGGTGGCGAATTTTCCAAATAATTTTTTGTAAACTTTTGCTTTCTGGTTATTTCTTCAAGATAATCCTAATTACCTTCCGTAAAAAACTGAATAAAATTATTTGGTTTTGGTGCAAATTCGAAGCTGAAATGACTTTTCTAAAGTTCTCTGCAAACCGATGAATGAGGCGAATTTTCTAACATAATTAATTTTGCCATTTTTGGCTGAAAATACTCCATTATTGTCAGAAAAGAAAAAAATCATCAGAAAATAATGTTTTTTTTTGTGTTTTCGACTAATAACTTTTAGTTTTGTGATCGGTTTTGGAGAAAACCTTAATGGTTATCGGGAAAAAACGGGAGAAATTTATTTTCGTTTTTGTTTCGATTTCGACGTTGAACAAAGTTTTTGTAAAATTTTTACAAAGCTATAAATTTATCTTGTAATTTTTCGCGTAAACGACCTTGAGATCGTCAGTACTTTTAAGTGAAACTCTACAAAATGGAGCGTTTCTGAGTAGAAAGTAAGGGAAAAAAAATCAGTCAAAACTAAAAAATCACATTTTTTTAACAAACTCTACAGTCTTCAGAGGTATGGAGGTGACGAGATTTCCAAGCAATCTGTTATAAACTTTCGCTTATTCTGAAATTATTTGATTTTTGTTCGAAATTCGAAGCTGGAAAGGGATTTAAAAGCTTTTTACAATGCGACGAAGGATTCGAAATTTATTTCATAATTTTTCGCGGAAAATACCTTAAGATTGTCAGGATTTTCAAGTGAAACTTGAAATTGAGCATTTTGAAGAAAGAGTAACTTGGCTAAAACTGGAAAATTCTGAAGTTTTGAAGGAATTTTAAAAACATTCTTAATAAAAGGCTCTTAAAATAAATCTAAAAACAAGTAAAAAAGTCATTAACATTTTATCAGCAACGGAACTGAGTTACTGCAACGGTGCGTTGGGTTGGCGCATCAAACCATTTGCGTAGTACTGCGCCAACTCCTAAAAATTCACTGAGTTACCCAGGCCTAGCTTACATAGAAGGAACGCAGCAAATTAACACAAAAATTCGTTTTTCAATGAAAGAACGCACATTCATTGCTATCGTACTGATTAATCTCATTTGAATCAATCAAATATTCATTAACTAACCGTTCTTGTTCAAGCTAAAAGTTGTTACTTGACCAATTCATTTCAGATTTCCATTCGTGGAACATGTTCCTGCTAGTCTCCGGGCTTCCAGCATTCATTTGCGGCATTCTGTTTGTATTTTTCCCCGAAAGTCCGAAATTTTTGATGACTTGCGGCGAGAACGACAAGGCTCTGAAAGTGTTCCAGAAAGTGTACAGTATTAACACTGGGGCGCCAGCAGACACGTTTCCAGTAAGTCTGAGCCAAACGCAGATAATCATCGATCGAATAATATTGGTTGCGGCTTAGATCAAGCAATTAGTTGACGAAACTAAGTTGGACGTAGATATGAAGAATGGCTCGCATATTACTGCGCATAGAACTAAACAGCAAGCGCTGAAAGAAGGATGGCAGCAGATGAAACCGCTGTTTCTTCAGCCACATTTAATGAAGATTGTACTTGCTTGTGCAATTTTCCTATTTGTTATGATGAGGTAAGTGCGCTCGAAGTCAGCGCTTCCCGACGACTTAAAAACCAAGTATTCTTTCGGTCAATCAGCATGAATATGTTGCGATTATGGCTGCCGCAGATTTTCCAAATTATGAACGACTACCAAAAGACCCACTTGGGAGAATCGGCCAGTTTATGCACCATGTTGAGCACAGTTTCCTCGAAAAACCAAACAACAGGTGAATGTGTGGTTGTAAGTATTGTTGCAACAAACGTATTCAATTTCATGAGTTGATTCTTGCAGAACACCGACAACGCCCAGGTTTATATCAATTCAATCATAGTCGGGTGTACTTCGATATGTGGAAACGTGTCAGCAGCATCTCTAATAAGGTTTATTGGCAAAAAGAAGATTCTGAGTAAGCATTTTTCTGCCCTGTAAGTGTTGTTTTACTGGTAAAGTTTCATTTCAGCTGTTGCCTTAATAACATCGGGAATTTCCTCGTTTTCACTGTACTTTGCCAACACTCCCGAAATGGCAACCGCACTGTCTTCCATCTTTATAGCTGGAGGATCGGTTTCAAATAATGTGATGGTATCAGTTGCAGTGGACATGTTTCCCACTACATTGAGGTAGTTGGAGAATGATCCAAGACTGCAAATTTTTCAAAAATGGAATTTTCAGAACAATGTCCATTTCCCTGGGAATGATGATAGGGCGTTCGGGTGCCATGAGCGGAAATTTCATATTTCCCTACTTGCTGGAAAGTGGCTGTCAAGCCCCATTTTTTGTCGTTGGGGGGCTCATGTTTGGTAATTAGCCTCCTATCGCCAGGTGCAGATTATGACAGTTTTGTTTTGATTGCAGCTGCAGCTGCTTTGTCGTTTGTTCTTCCCAACACCGACATGAAACCTCTCACATGAAAAGGAAAAGGTTCCCAGCACAATGCGCTAACTAAACCATGTACAGCTTTTGTTGGTTTTTAGCTCTATTTATTATGTTTTAGTTCTGATTTGAAGCAAAATTCGAAGATCATTTCATGTAAATAATAAGCTAAAATTTATATTTTAAATGTTCGTTTATTTCATTACTTACTTAATTATGTGAGTAATTATTTTCCGGGTAAGTAGTTTGTAGGAGAGTGTATTGTCAATTCGAACTTGTAGTTGTCTGTTTTCTAGTAAGTTCTTTATGGTGTGTAGTAGATATGGTGGTGTGTGGAGTTTGTATAGTTTGTATAGTAAGCCCCTATGCCAGACACTATCAAAAGCCTTGTTGATGTCCATGAGTAGATATGCCGACTTTCCGTCAGTTAGGTGAGTTGTTTGTATGTTGTTGGTCAAAATAAATAGCGGATGAATAGTCGAGTGATATTGTTTGAAGCCAAATTGGTAGGTTGGTTTCTGGTTTTACGATCAGTTCTTCAAGTCTCTGCTTTAGTATGTGTTCCAAGACTTTGCACAGCACCGGGAGTAATGTGATAGGTCTGTAGTTTTCCATTTGTGTACCGTCTCGTCCATTTTTAGGTATAGGAATTATTACACCTCTTTTCCACGTTTTCGGAATATTATTATTTGTGATGCAGTTGTTGATTTCAGTAAGGATGAGTTTGTGGGTTTCTTGGGTTAAGCTTTTCAGGAGT